GAAAAGAATGATGATATGGCAAAGTGAAACACATTGATGCTATGTGTATTTGATAAATACAGAAATCGAACTTAACGTGAATCCCACTATAATTGGTCAAGTTTGATCAATTTATAAGAGATAATGTTGAATATTAAGTATGAATCATTAGAAATAAAAACTTATAAATTAGGCACTCTTTCGTGTGCAAATCATAGTTAGTTATTTACATTTTATAAATTTGATATACATAATTTAAAAAACTCGACAATGTGAAATTGAACTTAGGATCCTTATTTGTTAGATAAAGATAGGATGTTAACGAGATAGGATTGCGTGTTGCACTAAAAAACGTCGAAAACAAATCAGTAGTTGTTACATGAGAAAAAAGAAAAAAGAAAAAATAATTCCATTCGTTAAAAAAATTAGGTTTATGTCCCCTAATAAAGTGGCTAATTTGGATGCGTGGGGTACTTCAAACCAAAAGAATAAAAATAAAATATCGATTTGGCATCACCGTAGTGGAAATCCTCGTAAAAGTTAGGTCAATAACACGGAAAAATACTTTGTGTTAATTCTCAAATTATATCAAAGAAAAACTTATGGTGTTTTTTCTTGATCATGTATGCTTTCTTCAAGCTTGCAATTTGTCCAACTATGACTACAAATAATAGAATACGGGCCTTCTTTTTTTTTTTTTTTGGCCTTTTTCTTAATTATTACTATGTAGTTGATATTCGTTCAAATTAAAAGGTGTTAATTACTATATTTACTGCTTATCGTATGCAACCTTAAATGGAGGAGCCCCTATTTAAATAATTTTTGTCTACTGATCCAATTTTGGGAGACGGTTATATTCTTTTTTCGAAACAACATAAATTCCTTTTTTCCTTTTTTTAGGAAAACATAAATACAATCTTTTCCTGGGAAAAGATTCTGTCATGATTTTTTATACATACACCACATTTTAATTGTATAAAGATCTATAATCTTTACTCATTATCATATTTATGTCCCAACTTTTTCTTTTTTATCATGTTCTTTCTATAATTAATTGACATTATTTTAACAGTTGTAAACAATTATCTTAAAAGTGATTATTAGTATTTTAAAAATAGACTTAGTAATAACCAAGATGGCTTCACGATAGCCCAGAATGTGGCATGAACTTGTCGGTGACAAAGTGTAAGATCAGATTTTCGTTGTACTCTGAATGCCCCTATTGATGCACATTGGAAATTTTGGTTCTTGTAACTTTATTTTTTGATAGGGGAATAAGATGGTTCACAATAAATCTTCATATGCTTCTATAGATTTTAATACTTGTATATGGACGGACCAACTATATTTCAAAGGTTTGAATCCCAACTTTAAGGGTCCCCACCGCCCTGTCCCTGGTACATCGTGAAGGAGGTAAATCGCAGGATGTGTGTTGTGGATTTTATCCCGCAAGTGTACGGATCGTAACAAGTAGTAAAGTGGACCTTTTGAGTCCGGATTATCGTTCCCACGAGAACTATACTTTAATACTCAATTTATTATTCCTAACTTCTATTTGACGAAAATAAACGAGAAAAGCGATTGGTTGTTACTTTTAAATCTAGCTACTTAAAAATGTGCGAATTGATGCAACAGAAAATGATCGAGAGTTCAAATAATAAAGGGACTTTAGGGCGGAACAATTTCACTTAATGGTCACCTTTACTTCGTAAATCAAGATTCATATAATCTTAAGTAATGTTCGATCGAATTCTTCTATGGTATTCAACTTACCCCTCTCGAGTTCTCGTTGAGCCTATTTAATTAGTTCAATTCCATATCTCTATGCAAATTAAAATTAATTAAACGCAACACTGGTTCTAAGAATTCACACACGACCGCAGCAATCAACATAAGTATCTCTACACGTTATATCGATTTACCGGCTTTTAACATGTGGTCTAAACAAATAATCCGCATCTCTACGCAATCATCGCTCACAAATCATTTAATTAGTGATCAAGTAATTAAAAGCATTAAGCACCACATTAAAATCAACGCATAAGATATAAAAGCACTAGAATCTTAAATCAACAAAATAAAGGGTTCCAAATAAATTACGTTGTTCGCCCTAAATTAAATTTAGCTATTCATAATAATGGAAGAAACACAAGATAAAATAATGGAAGATATCACCGGGATTAATTGACGAAACGCGAATGAAATTTCAATTTTACTCCAGCCGACAGCTTCAATGTTTGGAGTCCAATTCTGCCTCGGTTTCCTATGCGTATAAGTGATAAATTCCAGCAATTTCTGAGCTTCTCTGTGTGCCTCTCCTCAATTTCTGTGAGTGCCTCCAATATTTAATTGTAATCCCAGCTGGAACTTCTCAATTCTGCCTCCTCAAGCTGCCGTCTTTACGTGTGTATGTAAATATATTAATTGCCGGCAGCTTCAATTCTTGCCTCCAAATCTACTTTCAGCTTCCCTCTATGCTTTACACGTTTCTCAATTGATTTATCCAATTGTGTGTCGGGCCTTCTTCCAATTAATCCTAGCAGTCCGCAATTGAATTTTTGTCTAGCCGTTAGAAATTCTTCCGAAGTGTTGTATTTGGCCGGCTGCAGTTCTCCTTCCAGAAAAGTCGTTTTGCTGGCTGCAAGGGGTAAATATATATGTATGTAAGTCTAATTTCCAGCAACCAATTCCCCCAGGTTGTCTCCCCAATTCCACCTCTCCAATTCGTATGTATCTCTCCCGATTTTCTGTGCTATTGAGCCTCAATAATTGACCCCAAAGTGGAGTCCAATTTGCTCCCTAGTTCGGCCTGCTCCCTAGTTCGGCTCTCCCCTCCTCGGCGTGTAAATGGTGTATATATCTATAAAATAAAACCTAGCAGCCCACTTGAATTGTTTAAGTCCCATATATGATATGTATTTCAATTGCCATTCAATTTCAGCCCACGTGGAAGTCTAGTTGAGGCCCATTTATAGTGTTTGCTTCCAAGTCCTTAATTTTCAAGATAATGAATTTTGATTTCCAAACTTTGCATCAAATAGCCAACTTAGTCCTTGTACTTGAATTTTGCCACTTTTCGCCCATTTTTGCTTCTTCTCTTCAACTCCCTTTTTGATCGTGAAATATATCTATGAAGCATAAAATAAAAAAAATAGGATATAATTTGTTAAAAGGACCACCAAATATTGTCATTTTAAGCACCCGAATAAGTGTATAAAATACACTTATCAATGTGCCTTAACAGGTCAGGAAACAAGAGTTTGCCTGTAAATTGGTGCCCACAAAGAATCCAATTCCATATCTCAGGAATCGAATAATCATGCTGTGGCTATCAGCAAGATTGAGATTACCTCATTCCTATCCTTTGCATCACAGGGTTATGCCCGGGGGCATGGACCAGCTAAATTTCATTTTATCTTGAGTCGGTTTGTGATGGGCTTATTAATTAAAATGTCTTACCTTGCCATAATATAAGTAGATTATGTGATAAATACAAATATAAACACTAATTTGTATTGAGTACTACTATGATTATTAAAATTTTAGAAATAATCTAAATATTTGAAACGTCCAATATCTTATCCATACAATAAAAATGAAATATTTACAAAACCCCAAACTTCTCATCTCTACACCACCATCGGGAAAAACATCACCAACTGAAAAATGCATTAGAAAAAAGCAAGTTCTATCTACATCCGAGTAGTTTTTGTCTTCTCGCTACTGCTTCTGCTATTAAAATTGCTTTTCCTATTACAAAGGTAAAGTAGAGAGAGGGAGGGAGAAATGACCATTAGCGAATTGAGAGAGAGAGAGAGAGAGAGAGAGAGAGAGAGAGGATTGGTTATTCAAACAATTTGGTGGAGATATGCCTTCAACTGAATTGCTGAAATTTGTTTTAAAATATTGTGTTTTTTTAAGTGGGCCCAGCTATAGTGTTGGGCTTAATTAACCCTTTCTAACCAATTATAGTGGAACCTAATGATGAAGGAATCTCAAAGTTTCACTATCACTTCAGGCCCAGTCTGTCCGGCCCATCTAAACTAATTGACTCAAATGAAGTAACTTAGCCCCTATTTGTTGGAAATTAAAATCACAATTTTAATCCAAGTCAAAGTCAATAATTAATTTTAACTCCACATCTTATAGAATTCAAACTTTTCAACTACGTATTTCATCAACTTCTATCAAAACCTAAAAAAAAAAAAAAATGATTTTAATCTCCAATCGATCTAATTCATGAATACTAGACCTGCGATTGGTGACTTCACTTTCATTCTTCTTGATTCACCGTTGATATTAATCCTTCTATTACTTTTACTTAGGGCTCATTTGACAATTTGCTCTTGCATTTACTTCTTATAGAAGTGCTATATTTTTAGGCCATGTTTCTCTAAAAACTATTCTATTTAGATAAAACACAATTAAAACATGTTAAAAAGCAACGTCCTAGACTCTTAGTTTCAAAAGTAACTTTTATCTTTTCTCGTAGGCCCTTTATCATTACGATTCTAACCTGTAATATAATAAGATCCCAATTACCTATGGTAAATAGTGCCTTTCAATTGCAATCCCAAGGACTGAGTCCTCTGGAGCTCTTGTAAGTATGGAATTTCTTTCGTGCTTCGTTAAATTCTAATTTGTAACAGTATCTGATTAAGACAATAAGTCATAATCTGTTGTATATTTGTAAGAAATAAAAAACACAACCACCATAATTCCTGCTCATGTTCTCCTGGCAACTTGTGTAGAGTCATGTGCAATGAACACTAGAACATTGTTGGAAATTTATTAATGATAATGATTAATTTAGGCACTAGGTTAGAGTTTGTGGATTCCAAGATTCATCTTTTTTCCTAAACAAATGTATTTGCGCCGTTCCAATCAAATTACATTGCTTTCATTTTGACTAAGTGAACATATTACTTTTTTTTTTTTTAATTCCACAATCATTGCCGGTTCATGTCACTAGAAACTCTTATATATTTGGTTCTGTTTCTCTCGATATGTGTCTTAGAATCATAGAATAATAACCCTCAGAAGGATATGAGATTATTAAAGCATGATAATTTCCAAAAGAAGATAAGACATAACATGAGTTACTCTAGGCTCCTACCAATTCTAGCCTAGCTATGTTAATTTATTTTCCATCCCTATTTTCTATAGGCATCTTCCACCATAACCTGCATTCCTGAATAATGCTTGTTCTACATCTTCGGTGCTCATAATTGCTTGGTTTTCAACAGTCTGAAACCATAGAAAAATTAGAAGCAAATTAGAACATATTTGGTACATAGTTCTAGAGTACTCTATAAAAATGTACAATATTTTAACTTATTTTTTAGAGTTTTGTTCGATTTTGTCGAGTTCAGTGATCAAATATGTCATTAGAACTTACCTCGTAACAGGAAGCTTGAAGTGAAAAATCATTGAAACAGCTGATTACACACTGTTGAATATCAAAGCCCAGTGCATCAAGGGTGCTAAGGGTTGATGACAATAATCCTGGCTTCCCTGTACAACGTACCTCAATCTGGGTATCCTGGTTTCTCCTTTCTACATCAAACTGAAGTTGGAAAGTTAATTAGTGAAATACTAGGCTTTCACTAGGGTTTTATTTGGATTTCAGCGAGGTCAAAGAATAAAGAAAACCATACTTTAGGGGGATTCTTCACTAGTGTTTCGTTTGGATTTAGCTCCTTCAAATTTCTTGTTAACTTCATCTGGCTCGTATTTAAATCCATGTCCTTCTCCTGCATCTTGTGAATTTTATCAAGGAGCTCCTTCACGTAATCTATTGTGTCTCCAAGTATTGATGTTCTATCCATCTGCTTAATTTATCAAGAAACATACCGCGGTAATTTAGGATATATCAGATTTTTTCTTGAAATATGAAGCATATAATTGTACATTTGCTACATTAGTCCAAAATTTAAATTATGTATTTTCTCCAACAACATCATATAGAAGGGTAAAGTCAACGAGACCAGTAAAAACAAAAAATAAGAAGTGAAAAGCAAGACATTTTTGATTGAGATGAATGAATGGCATTGGATGGAGTGTTTACCTTGCTTATCTTGGGAACAATTGACCGGAGCAAGGAAAGGCGATCGTTTAGTCGCTTCCTTCGCCTTCTTTCGGCCATCAGATTCTTGGAGGGTTGTCCATTAGCTTTCTTAACCTTGCTCTTTCCTCCGGCAAACAAACTTACGTTAGAAATATTGGTCATATCTGCTGGAAATCCAACTTGTTCATTTTCCACATTTCTTGTGCAGTACTCTTCAAGAACTGGCATCGCCATTATATCATTCTTATTATCAAATGAACTGAACTCCGACGAGTTGAATGCATCAACAAATGGCTGGAATTCACCAAAGGGATACAGATTACACAATTCTTCTTGTGAAACGAGTCCCGAAATTGAAGGATTTGCGGCTGCCAACTCTGGTGTGTAATCAAGATTAGGTTCCAGGGTCCAGCAATTAGGGAAAACCCCATTCAGATCGTTAGGAAATGTGGTCCAACTGTCTCTCCTTGAAGCCATTAAGCCATCTAAGAGACTCTGTTGTGTAAGCTCCATCTCTCCTTTCGTCTAACGAACAGGAAGACTGAATAGTAATATAATGTTGCTGTTAGTTGAAGGAATATATATAGAGTGTTTAGAAGGTTTTTAATATTGTGAATAAAAATGCATATGTTAATCCACCCTTAAACTCACTCGTAAGGTGAGAATGCCTGAGTGATTTTAACTCCAAAAGCCAAGTCTTAAATTAGCAACGTCGGATACATAGGGCCATGGTGGCCAATATTTTCGGCTAGACGATGTTAAGATTTGTGGTCCATTTTAATAAGGTCAACCTTATTAAGAGAAGTGATCCAAGATTTATTTAAGTTGATCAATATTTCGATATTTAACCGATGTGAGATTTATTCCCTTAACAGACGATTTTATTTTCTACTAAAACTAGCGCTACTCAAAGTTTTCTCGAGAAGGGTACTTATTTAGATATCAATTATTACACTCATATTATGTAGGTGTCATGTTAATCCCGACTTATACGGCAGAAAATATTCAAATGTTTATAAGGTTTATAATTTTTATTGTGTAGAGTGCGATTAGAGTCGTAATGAAAGGGTTTATAATTTTTTTTTTTTTTTTGCCTCTCGGGCACATCTCCAAGTGGTAAAAGGGGAGGATGGAGAAATCCAACTTTGTTTGAGGCTGCCGCGTCAAGGGTTCGAATCCTGAAATATGGATTTGGCTCTTAGGTAAGTGCAAGTGTACAAGCAACCTTCCACCCTGTACTCTTGGAGGCATAACCTGCGATTTACCTCCCTCACGATACTCCAGGGCAGGGGCGGTGGGAAACCCATAAGGTTGGGGTTCAACCTTTTTTTTTTATAATTTTTTTTGTGTAAATTTCGCACCTAGAGGGCATTAGATTAGGGTGGAATCTGCTTTTTCTCAAGTCATTCTCCGACGAATTTTTAAAAGTTGTGTATCATCGAAATCTTTAATCGGATAGGGTACATACATAAGTCCCATTAGCCTGCAAATTTTGACCCAATTATCTGTCTGGAGCGTAAAGTGTGTGCTTAGCAACATGAACATCTGTCAAGCTCATTGATTAATAATTTTGTAAATCTGCATTTTCGGAACTTAATAACTGACAATTTGCTGCATTGGGTCCCATGATTAATTTACTTTTTAGCATTCATTTCTCTTGAATCTGAGCTTGAAAAACTGTGCTCAGTTAGCAATTGGTACCCATTTTTGTTCTTTCTTTTGTAAGTATTGCTTGCTATATTATCTTATGGTTTTGCCTCAGTAATCTTGAAGTGGGTTTTGTGCTTAATATTCTGTGGAATTCTAGGAACGCTAGGTGGAGAATAATGCTTTTTAACTGTAACATGGTAATGGAATTTCATATGACAACACACAATTTTTGCAGGTTTGGTATATTAGAACGTTATCTAATACTTTGCATTGAACACGTCCATTGAGTACATTTAATCATTGCACGTCCTATTGCCTCTAAACTAATAGGTTTTCATGATTCATTGTAGAAATAGCCTTAGCAGCTGCTATTTTGGCACTTCCTGTATATCTGTATATATTTTCTTTCATATTTTCCTTTAGAGCGTCCCTGTCTGTCCAAGGCCCATGTGACCCTGAACAAGGAGATTTTTCCTAGAAATAAAGGGTGACAGGATTTTTAATTGAAAAAGGGAATAAATATCACCTGAAAACAAGTGACTATTCTCATTGCTGACACTATTCTATTTGTCAAATCTCCATATGTTGCCAAGATACTAACAGAAAAATATAAGAAAATTTCCCTCCACATTTTTTTATTATATTTTTTTGGAAAAAAAATTCCCACTGCATTCTTTTTACAAAACTAAGCAAGGCCATGTTTTTACAAACAAAAATTTCAATTTAAAAACATTATTAAAATTTTCTCCCTTCATTCCCCATAAAATGCAAACAGGATCAAGGCTGTCAGGAGACGATACAGCTTATAAAATTATTAAATTAAAGACTCGATGACTTTGAAAATAATAAATAATCCAAATGCAACTTACTAACTTTAAAAGTATGTCGTATTCCACACTGAAAAATATGACTTGCCAAAATGTCTATAGCAAGCAATCCTGCATGCTCATTGTTAAATGGTTACATTAATTCTTGTTTGGATTTTCTTCATAACTGATTACAATCAATTGCAGAACTCGCAATAGATCTTATATTTGAATCGTGAAGACAGTCAAAGCTTGTGGCAACAATTAAAATTTTAGCTCCCGTTTGAGTCCCATTATTTCTCATTACATTAAATTAAATTTTTTTCTCTCCTACTTTTAAACACACAATTTTCAATAAAATAATATTACACGTAAATTAAAAACTTTTCAACCACTCATTTTTCAAAAAAATACTATTCATTTTATTATAATCTACAAATAATGGGACTCAAACCACCGGGGCTTAATCTCTCAACTGTAGTCGACTAGTTACTATCAGTGTCACAGAGCGGACATGGGACAATAATTAATGTACAATCTTGAAATTATCATTGGTTCATAGCATTTTCCTTGTGAGAAATGAGTTACAGACCATGAAAAAGACCTCGAAATTGCAGACATGATTGAAAACAACGTTTTGTCTCATCAAAGAAAAGGTATAAAAACAAGGGGTGTAGCAGCCCACAATATTACATGCAAAAACCGCTTTTGCATTGGCCTTTCCTATGCCGTTTTATTCGTAGGTCCCTTTTCTAGATTTTAAATATATACGACTCAATGCCCTAGAAATAATGTTGGCATCTGCATGAAATGAAGTCTACAAACGTCATACGTGTTTGTTACATGCGCTCTTCTTTTGTATTTTGCTTCCCCGCCACACTCCATTGCTTTTCATAGGTTGGTTGGAATCATCTCTACTTATGTTTCCACATTTTGGTAAAAGATTTTTTTGAAAAAGTTACATTGAGTAAGCTTCTTTTAAAAGTCCTTTTATTAGATAAAATATTTTTGAAATTATTCAACAAGATTAGAAACAATATTTGACTTTGAAAATCTTGGCAAACGTCCCTTACATATCACTTCAATTTTAAGATAATTAATGATAGTAAACATTTTCATCAATGTCTCGATGCATGAAATTTGTGTGAATAGGTAATAACTTTTATCAAATTTTAAATCATATATTTTTGTGTGAATAGGTCACTGGGACATTTAGTGGTTTTTTGGGAAATGCCAAAAGTTTTTTAAAAAGTTAAGGTCAAAATTAATTAATTTTAATCATATATTTCACGGTATTCATAACTTTTATTAATTTTTAAATAACATATTTTATTAATTTTTATTAAAAGTTGCTAAATTTATTATCAAAAGCTTGGTCAATTTGTTTATCTAGAGGTGTAAATAATATGGAAACGATACATAAATCTTACATTTACTATACCCCATCTCATTTTTGATAAATATTATATATAAAATAAATTCAAATAAATATACATCCTCAGATAATGCTTTAAGTTACCGTTCTAGACGGAAATCTCCAAAACAACAAATCGTGAAGATCGAGCGAAGTAGAAAAGCCACAGAAACCTTTCCGAATCAAATATTCTCCATTACCAACGTCGAAAGTTGATTGTTTAAAATCATCAAAGTATTGAGGTCTCAAATTGAAAGCTATTAAAAATTCGAACAAAAATAGAATTTACAGAGCACTCGTTGGAGCAAATAACTTCGATTCTCACCGATGAAATCTAATTAATTGAAACTCAAAGAAAGATTGAGGGGTCAAATTGAAAGTAGTCGGCATTGTGTGTCAGAAGATCGAACAAAGATAGGATATATAGAGTACTCATTGGAGCAAATAACTTCGATTCTCTTTGTCGAAATCTAATTAATTGAAACTCGTTAGATGATTGAGGTCCCATATTGAAAGTTGTCAACATTGGATATCAAAATTTTTGAAGGCAACAGTCGCAAACTGAGGTGGAAGAAATCAATGGTATGTAACCAATTTTCTTGGATTTGTGACTTGTGGACATTGTTATGCTATCTATGTAATATAACCGATGACCTATGAACTATTACCTATGACCTGTAACGTATGAAATGTGACCTGCGAACTTATATTTGTGACCTATTATTAGTGCACAAAGACATGTGACGTGATTTGTAATATGTTGACATTGATCTATGACCTATACAATATGACTTGTGAAGTGTGGTGACATGTGACATGTAAACATAATCTGTGACCCGTGGACATTTATCTGTTAGCAATGCACAATTTGATCATGACATGTAAATGTTGATATGTTACATATGCAATATCATATGTGATCTGTGAACTGTTATCTCTGACTCGTAACATATGAATTGTTATCGCTGCTAGTGGGGTTGATAAGTCACATGTAACATGTTGACATTGATCTATGACCCCATGAAATATATCATGTGACCCGTGACCTATAAATATGATCTGTGATTGGTTCCGTTTAATCTGAATTGTGAATATTTATCTGTAACCTATGTATAATGACATGTGACCTGGTACATGTAACATGTGACTTATCAACATGACAGCTATCAACATAGCATTTGACATACTCTATGAACATGTGCCATCGTTGTCACCGTTGCCACCACAACAAAGCCACCACCCCAAAATCACCCAAAAAAAGCACAAAATCACCACAAAACTATCGTAAACCACCACAAATTCCTTGCTCGGATCACCGCTGCAACAGTGAACCTATTGTCACTGAGCACAATGCTCAGTTTGTCGTGCAATTTGAGAACAACGGTGCTTATAAAGTTTGGATCCATTTTCGACTTAAAACTCACAATATACTCCACCACAACACACATTGAAAATGGAAAACAAGCTAGAAATCATGCAAGAAGCTAAAGAGAAAGAAGATGGGCCATCGCCTGGGTTTCAGTCCATCATCAGCCACCTCCAACAAAATTTTACATCTGACAAAGCCGAAGTTGGTGACGAAAGTGGCGGTGTAGAAGAAGGTCCACCGCTTTGTTGCACCCTATCAATCATTATTGACCGGCTCATTGACTCACAAATGTGAAATAATTTAGGGTTTGGGAAGACGGGGATGGTTGGGAGTGGGGGTCGAGATGGGTGGGTAGATTAATTAATTTTATAATATTATTATTAATATTAATAGTTGAATTATCACATGGTTTATGGATAAACAAACTTTAAATCTGATTTTTGAAATATAATCTTTAAAAACATTTCTACAAATAATTTTGTGCTCTAAAGGCGTAAACTTAACCTAGCCCGTCGGGCCTTAACTAAGTCGAGCCATAAACTCTTTTTTAATTAAAAAAAATCATCTTGTAGTCTTGAACTTAGAATACAAAGTCCAATGTTTGGCATTTTTAATAAGAATAACAATATGTCCTCGTTTGATCCCTATTATTTTTAAAATATATTTTTTTTCTTCTTTTCAATCACGTGTTTTTCAACAAAGTAATATTACATGCAAATCCATAAAATTTTTCATTATTTTTTAACCACACATTTTTCATCTATCTACTATTTCAAAATGCATTCTTAACTTATAGTGGGTCTCAAACAGGCTCTATATACAAAGTAGGAATTATCCCCGTGTGATGTGACGTATGATATGAGTTTAAATGATAAGGTCAATTAATTGTGAGGATACAATCCTGAGGGGTAGTTCAGTGGTCAGACATTAAGTTTGCTATCAAATGATCATCAATTCGAGTTTTCTCATGGCCACTCAGGTGAGTACCCGATTGTAAACTTCAGGCCTGGTGGACACCCACGGTTATCGAAAAAAAAAATTAATTGTGAGGATATGAGACTAACTTTATTAATATTATCAATAATATCACTTCTCATTGGTATAATTCTTAGTTTCTATCTATGGCATTACTCTGATCTTGTGGTTAAGTTAATCATTGGAGCAAGAGATGAAAGAAAAATAAGATTTTTTGGAGGCTCAATGGAATTGAGGAAGCGACATGTACAATTGCACTTTTGACTATTATTTTATTTTTCGAAGATTTTGTCTTTACTGCTCTGATCAAGCCTAGTCACGTCTAAGGCCAGGCCATGATGTGTGTGTCATCCCAAATCGTGTCAATCGACATTGGATTACTAGAGACAAATTTACATATCTAGCTTATCCTCATAGGTGTTAAATAAACTAATATAAGAAAATGAAAGGGTTAATTAGGCATAAGCCTAAGCACACCACCAAATTGGGCCCTTTTTGCCATCCTAAAATCGTGACAATCAATGTTGGTTCACTCGATACTCAGCCTCAGTGCTAGAGCGAGCAACAGTGGTCTGCTTTTTACTCCGCCAAGAGATAAGAGAGTCACCAAGTAGAAAAGGAAAACCAATGGTAGATCTGCAATCAGTAGGGGTCCCTGCCCAATCAGCATCAAAGTAAACCTTCAAGGTCAAATATGAGTGAGAGGAAAAGTGAAGCCCATGAAATAATGTTCCCTTCATATAGCGTAAGATGCAAAGAACATCTGCATGGTGAATGGAACGAGGAGCTGACATAAATTGGCTAACAAGATACACTGCATAGGCAATGTGTGGTCTAGTGGCAGTGAAATAAATCAAACTCCCAACAAGCTGTCGGTAAAGAGTGGCATCAGGAAGGAGCTTTCCATCAGTAGGATGAAGTTTGATGTTGGGCTCCAACGGACTATCAGCTATCTTACAATCTGTGAGACCAGCACGGGTGAGAAGATCAGAAGCATACTTGGCTTGGGTCAAAGAGTAGACATCAGAGATAGAGGACACCTTTAAGCCGGGTAAGTAGCTAAGAGAACCAAGGTCTTTCATCTCAAAATACTGACATAGAAACTGCTTAAGCTCATGAATACCAGAATTATCATCACTAGTGATGATCATATCATCAACATAAAGTAGTAGTCAGTGATGCCAATGTCAGTGTGATGAGTAAAAAGAGCAGAATCATAGGGGCTAGAAGCAGACCCAAGATGTGCAACAATGGAGATGAACTTGGCAAACAAGCACGGAGAGCTTGCTTAAGCCCATATAATATATGTCGAAGACGACAGACCTTACCAGGAGGATGAGGACACCTTGGAAGAGGCTTCATAAAGACCTCTTCATCCAAATCACCACGTACGCATTCTTGACATCCATATGAAATAAAGGCCATCGACATGCAGAGGCGACAACCAAAAGAGAACGGACTGAGGTAATACGAGCACCAGGGAAAAATATCTTCTCGTAGTCAATGCCAAACTCCTGAGTAAAGCCCTTTACCACTAAACGAGTTTTATGTCTTACTTTAGAACCATCGGAGTTCATTTTCCTCTTATACACCCATTTGTTCCTAACTTCAATCTTTCTAGGAGGTAGGTCAACCAGATCCCAAGTATGAGTTTTGTAAAGAGCGTCAAGTTCTTCAGACATAGCTTGCTGCCAAACAGGGTCAGAACAAGCTTCGTGATAATTGCGAGGCTCGTGAAGAGAGTCAAAAGTAGAAAAATAATGGTAATCACTAAGATAGATAGGAGGTGCACTTACCTTACTAGAATGACAAACATCTAAATCAGAGGACTCATGAGGGGTAGATGCGATGGCATGATCATCAGACGATCCAGTTTCCCGAGAGGTAGGCATAGAGTGATCACCAGATAAGCTGACATGACCTGCATTACAGGAAAATCAGGAGAAAAGTCTACGGCAAGGTCAGTAAAAATGGGAGAGTATGAGAGACAATCAGATGAAAGTGGAAAGATACTAGTGAACACTTTGTGTTCCCAAAACTGAACATGTTGAGAGATTCAAAGACACTTGGCTAAGAAGTCATAGCACCGATAACCCTTGTGTTCAATCCCATAACCAAGAAAGCAACA